TCTCAATTCCTTTCCTCTCAAAAGAGTTCAGGAAGCCAGCAAACTTGCAATTCCAACAGCTTTTCTTTCAGAGGAACTCAATTCTCCTCAAAGCAATGGGGGGGGGGCAATGAGAGTACAGAGCAGTACGCGAGCAGCTAACCACAAAACAATGAGAGTAGATCTGAGAAAAGTAGAGTAAACTGCATTGAAGAGTAAGTTGGATTGTGTTATTGTGTTAGAGCAGAGTAGACTGCATTGAAAAGCAAGTTAGATTTGTGTTATCGCATTGAGTAGAGTAGACTGTATTAAAAGAGTGAGTTATATTGTGTTAGAAAGTAATTAGAGAAAGAGGAAAACACCAGTGCGTTTACCATTCAAACGAGTCAGGAAAGTAGGCCAAGTTTACATTCCCCAATAGAAGTTACAAATGCTAAAAAAAAAAAAGAGAAGGAATTAGAAGATCTTAAGTTTCTAAAGAGGGAACAGGTGGAGGATCCTGTAATGAAGTTACTATAGCCTTAGCAGCACGAACAGAGGTAGAGCTCGGCACATCACCAGGCAACCCTTCTAGCAAGGAAGTAGTTGAAATCTCAGAAGAACCAAGAACAGGTGAGGAGGCTGATGCCTCGATCTCAGGCAGAGCTCTCGTTACCAGATTAGCAGAAAAGAATATATTAGCAGGAGCAACTGGAGGAGTGGACATTTTAGTACCTTTCAGAGCCCTATCAGAGGCAGCGGGAGCCAAGGTGCTGTCATCGCACTCTGAATCAGACTCCTCCAACTCCTCCTCAATAGGGATGGCAAAGTTAAAGTCGAGGTCTGGGTAGGCCTTCTCCGCTTTGCGCTGAAAGATCAGTCATCCTGAGGCCCACTTGGTGGTGACAACATCCTTCAGCTCGACTATTGTGTCATCCTTCTCCTTGACAGCTCTCTTCTGCACCTCGAGCTCACCGCATAGGCCCTCGTTCACCTCAGCCAGTATAACATACTCCTTCCTAAGGCTCTCGAGGGAGCCCCGAGCATTAAAGGCTTTCTAGCTAGCTTTGTTCCAGGCATTGGTTTTGAGTAGCAGCTCTTCCCTGATCATCCTCAGCTCATCCTTGACTTTCTTCTCTCTTTCCTCAGCCCTATCCTTTGCAGCTTGAAGGCCTTCTTAGTCAGAGGCCTGCTTCTCCATTTGCTCCACGAGCTTTTGTACCTAAGCTTTGAGACTCTCATTGTCAAAGGTTAGTTCAGAACAAAAAAAAAAGAAAAAAAAAAAAAAAAAGAAAATAGACATAGATCAGCACAATTCAACCGCGCCGAGCTAAGAGCGAGTGTGAAAATACTTACAGTGGCTATTCTCTGGAGAGCTGAGTAGAAAGAGACCTTAGGAGACATGGTAGAGGCCCTCTGAATATTGGATTTAGGGAGAATGGATGAAATGGCCCCAACAGCCAACTCAGCATTGTCGAAAAAGGAGTCTTCATCAGTCTCCTGGCCTTCCCTCCTTTCGACTTTGGGACTCCGAAGAGGCAGCTGGGATGGTTGCTTAGGCGGTCTGTGGGGTGCAAAGTTTGGCTTGATTCCAGTAATCAGCCTCAATGCTCCCTCAACCTCAGAAGAGGTGGGGGAAGCCAGCCTTGGCTCGGAAGCCTTTTAGGGGGTAAACTGGGCCCCTTGAAGAGGAGAAGAGGCTAGGGATTGAGATGAGGGAGTCTGTCCTCTCTTGCTAAAGGCAATAGAAGAGGGCACTCCTAGCTTCTGCGCTTTAGCCCTGTCAACGGGGCTGCTTTCAGAGCTGGTATCGGCCTTCCGTTTGCCACTTTTCCTACTCTTCTTTAGTAGGTCAACTTTAGTCTGAAGTTCCTCAGAGGTAGATTACATTATGGAGGAGCCTGAAAGATCTAGACCAAGCAAGTTAAACAGGAGAGAGAAAAAAGAAGGGAAGGCAAGGGAACCAAATCAGAAAGTGTTACATTCTATGTCTTTAGGCCTAACAACTGAGATAGGGAACGTAGCTTCTATCGATACCTAAGGAGGACTAAATCCATGTGTTACTAAGACCCAGGGCTTGATGAGCTCTCTGGATTGCACTTCAACTTTCGCTTTACCCTCTCGTCCTCAGCATTGAGCTCTGGTCGAATGCCTGAAAAGCAACACAAGGAAAGCAAAGGTCAAAAAGGTGACTCAATGATTCCCAAACCAGAACTCTCACCTCAAAGTTATTATGGGTGGACCAAGTTCTAGGGATACCCAAAGTATTAGTCCTGTCAGTAGGGTTGTACTCCTAGTTAATGCCCCCAATGAAAAAGAATTGTTGCTTCCAACCCTTATGGGAGCTCGGGAGGTGAGTAATGATCTGTCTAGCCGTGGTTCGTTTGGAGATATATAAGAAACCCTCTGATGAGGTGAGCTTGACATTAAAATGATCCACAAACAAGGAAAGACTGGGGACCCTAAGTTCATGAATCTTGAATAAAACAAGAAGACCCACAAGTACACCCCAGAAATTAGGGGAGAGCTGAGCAAGGCAGACATTGAAGTGTTGCAAAACACTCTTGATGAAGGGATGCATAGGGAGACGAAGGCCATTCTCAAAAGCGGCCGCAAAGAAACATACTCTCTTGTGAACTTGGGCAACGTATGGGGTGTATTTATCTGGACACCAGGACTGGACACCAAGAGAAAAATCGTAACAAGCACTGAGAATTCTCACATGAGAAGAGTCAACCTTACTAGGTCCTACGAGCTCAGCATGCCTAAAAGCGGCCCCTGTGCCCGTTGTGTTGTCAGAGATTCCTATCCCACTCACCTTGCCCTTACCTTTGTTAGGATTAGGGGGCACAGAAGAAGACGATGGGGATGGTTCCTCAGTATTTTTCTCGGCATCGACAGCATCCATACCGGGAAAATTATCGATTTTCTCACCTACATCCCCTAAATTAGTGTCCTCTTCGGCAGACCTTTCCCCCAAGAGAGAAGTAGAGGAGCATGTAACTCTGGAAGAAGTAGACATGACTGGACAGGGGAAAGGTAAACTGAAAGAAAGGTAAAGAGGAGGAATACTGATTAAGCACTCCCTAATAACCCTAGGGTCAGCAAGTAGCTTCCAACAGCAAGGATTCATACGATAGAAGACCAGTCCACGAAGTGGGTGAGATGAAACAAGCAGTAATTTTGATTCCAAAAGTAAAAAAATTGAAAGGCCCAGAAATGCAATGGCCACGTCGAATTCAAGGGATTCAGAACGAGGAAAGATGAAAAAGGGACAAAAGGGCGTACCTAGGTGGGAAAGAGCAATGAACAGCAGCCTAGAGCGAAATGGAAGAAGAGGGCAATGCGAATCTTCAAATCGAACCCACAGAACTCAATCTTGAACGAGGAATCAGAGAATTTCAAACCAAAAAGTCAAGAAATCACAAGAGGAGAGAAGCAGCAGAGAAGTTGAACAGTGGAATAGGGCAGTTCAGATAGCCATTTGAGCATTTAAAGCCTAAGAGACGTGGACTGAAATATGCGCGAGAAACGAGGAAGTCATGATTGCTGAAAATTGTCAAAAAGGCCTAACTCATGTGCAGGCCAAGGTCAGCCACGTGCAGATCTTGCTTGGTTTAAAAAACAGCTCAACCCCTGCCCAAGCCCGCTTGAACCAGGGGTTGGGGGGCAACTGATGATATCTCAAACAAGCCCTAGCTGTGAGTTTAAGTCAGGAGGTTAGGAAAGACACGAGGAACTTAGAGAATCAGGAGTGGAGCTCCCATTGGGGAGATCGTAGCTGAACCAACCAGAAAACAGCTGGATGACTGTGAAAATTGGGCCCCATGCATGAAACTCTCAACCAACCAAGATTCTTTCGTAAAATCAAGGAGGATCTCACGAATAATGGGTAAAGATCTTGGCTGAAATCCCACGGAATAGGAGACATCCTTATAAATACTATGTAACGCCTCATCGAGAGATAGAGAAAAAAAAGAAGAACTCTAATCGGATTGTGCACTGTCTTGTATTACATTCAAATAATCAATAGAAAAGAAAATGAGCAAGAGCCTCCATTTGAGAGTGGATTAGCCGAGCTCTAGAGCCGGTGAACCACTATATTCCAACTGTGTAAATTCCTCTATTCCCTAAGAAACACTTTATCATTGCCATTACGAAGTTGATAGCCTAACTTTACCATTGGTCTCACGCACTCTATTCACTCACATCAGTTTGGCATCATCAAATGCAAAGATAACACATTGGATGACATTCCACCAATTTACCCCACCCATGTGCATGCTTCATTGGAACCTAGACACATCCTGGATTCTCCCAATCCTGAATGTGACATATGGTTAGGGCAACGAACCCGGCAGCCAATTTTCAACCACATGTGATCAAGAGTAGAAGTTTGTGATTTACCTCTCCCATTCCCCCTGGTCCTAAGACGGGGCCTATTTTCCCATGTCAAAAATAGATGTTTTACAATCATTTTACATTTCAGGATAAATCTAGATTAAGCACAATAGCAGATGTTTACACATCATACACTGGCTTGGATTTCTAATGTTGACATGCAATCGTGTTAGGTCTTCACCTCAGAAGCAATCGGGTTGTGTGGTGTTGGATTTGTCTTAGAAGTTAATCATGTCAAAATTGGGTCAATTGGTAATACAATTGGCTTGTAGTAGTCAAATGATACAACATGGTTCGTATGACCTATTTAATGGTTATATTCGTGTTCGTGTAATGAAGACATCAAAATTTAACAGTTCTAAATATAACAAGATTAATAAATTTGTAATTTCAAACACAAGAAAATTAACCTAAAAGAAAAAATTAATTTTTGTTGACGCATAGGGTTGAAAATTGTCACCTCCTATCTGCAACCCTCTATGCTAAGTATTCCGCAACTGTCTTTTTTAAATCACTTGCAAGAGAAAACACAAAGTTTTCACATAATAAACTTTCTTTTTTATTTAGCATTATTTAGAAAGCTGCCTCTACATTTATAAGCAAGAAGGTAAAGCCATTGTTAGCATAATATAAAATGGCTTTCAGTGGCTTACGTTTCCAGGCTCTAGGGGCTCTTGTTTATCTTGAGTTTGACTATCAAGCTTGATAGTTGGCACTATTTCTCGGGCAGTTTCTCCATGCGCATTCTCGTGTGGACTTCCTTGGTGATCTTGGTGAACAACAAGGTTTATCTCTGTATGGTTTGAAGAGCTTGCCTGACTTGGGATACCATTGGTATTCAATGAGGTGTCAAGTGACATTCTTGATGGACTTTGTGGGCAGCTTGCATTTGACAAGGCTTCCACTGCATCCACACTATTCGTACCAACAACACCATTTGCTTTTTGTTCTTCGTCTTTTCTAATGCCAAAGCGTTTAGCCAACTCCACAAATTTTTCCCACCATGATGTTTCAGGATCAGAGCACGTGAACACATCCCGATGCTTATGTAGGAACGTAGCCAAAAATACGATTAGAGCTGAAATAGAAACAAACGCAATAAAAAAAAATGGGAACCAAAAGCTCTCAAGGCCGAGGCTATTTGTAGAAGCCAAGTCACTAGGGTTTGGACAATTGGCTTGTTTCTCCAACCACTTCTTCTCAATTTCTAGCATTTTATCACCCTCTGTCACATTTAACACTGCTCTTGAAATATCAGGGACTAGAGGGGAGCCTATTGGGAAGACCTGTCAATCAACAATGATATATTCTATTTAAGCACCTGAGGAGAGAGAGAGAGAGAGAGAGAGAGAGAGAGTCTTACAAAGGCAAATCCATCCGTCATATATGTTGGTTCCACTGTGGTATATTTTGAGCAATATTTTTTAAGGAAAAGCTTTGCATATGGTGTTTCATCAAAAGCAGCTGCAATACCACCATTTTCACTCCCTTTAGAAAGGAGGTCATCACATTCGTCTGGAGTGTTGAATGTTCTAATCTTGGACTCGTCAAAGTTCATCCGCTGCAAGAATTGTAAAATGAAAGAGCCGTTGTGGTAACCAACATACTCTCCTTTCCTTAAAAGCTCTTTTGCATCAATAATAGTTGGCTGGAGCTGTTGAACCGTCAATCTAGTGGTCAGACTTGCCGTGTAACCTTGGTTCAGTATTATCAACACGATCATCCAAATAATCACCACGAACCTTGATAAGTTGCTCAATACATGCTCCTCTATTGAAAGCATGGTTGAGAAGGAGAACCAGAACATCATGCCAATACGGTGTGAAGATTGGCCCCTAAAATCTTCGTTTATTGGATGTTCTAGGACCCATATCACAAAACCAATGAAAACAAATGAACAAAAGATTGTAACCCAAAGTTTCCAAGTAAATGGCTTGAAGAACACCCATGGATCCTTGTTCTTTTTATCCTTTATTGGTACAATCATTGATATGCCAGACTCGGTGTACGGTAGAGTAAAATCCACATATTGGGACCTGTTTGCTATGATAGTAACATCTCCAGCCACAGCGTCATACTTCTGTACATTACCCGGGAAGCATTATGAATTTATTTGTCATACTATGAAACATAATCAAGAGTATCGCTAGTTCAAGGTGAATGATTCATTATCAAAGCCTCATAAATAAGTATGAATGGTTTAAGCATAGCTGAAAAGCTACGTAGCGAACAATTTCCTATCACTAATAAGTCAGAAACAATTTGTGCCAATTGTTTTGCTTTAAAATATGTTATTCGTCTACATGTTTTCCAATAATTGTTGTGCCTAGAAGTTCTCTTTGGAACTATTTGCAATATTTTTTCTGTATTTTCAATAAAATAAGAGAGAGAGAGAGAGTTACCCCGAGATACACTTGATACACCAAGTCATTGTATGTACCAGCCATCTTACCATCAGGATTTGCAAAAGGTATATATTCATAAGGAATATGATATGGTAATGCGGCCATTACAGCTTCAAAGACTTCTATGCAGTATCCCGAAACTGTCGACTTGTTAGTGCTAGGATCTTGGGATACCATTACAAATTCTTGGAAACGATCCTTCACTGGGACTCCAATTCTTAGCTTTATGTCATTTGTCGGAATCGCCCAGCCCTTTGGAGGAGATGCAATATCACCTGGCCATATGATAGCTTTAAAATTGGCATTCACAATGGAATCTGTGTTTGTATTTTTGGAATTCAATTCCCTAAGAATTCCTTTTTCTTCTGTCCAGTATCCGACCACTCTTTCCCCTTTGCCAATCACATTAACTATCTGATAAACTAATGATTGTAGTTGGCCATCAACTATCTTGAAAGGACCACTAAGTCCTTTAAATGTTGTACTTCGTAGTGCGTGAATAAGTTTCAGACCATGTTTAGAAACTCCAAATGCTTCAAGGTCTGTCAGATTTCCAACTGCATTTGCCTTATCAAAGCTAGTATCTGTAGCCCCTACTTTTTCAATCGCTATGGCTAGTGCCTTGGTAGCATCGTATGCCCATAGTCCATAAACATTCAACTCAACCATAGGTACAACCGAATTTTCCAGTTGAAATGTCCTTTTCCATCGAATGCTGAATTTTTTGAGCTCTTCCGTTTGGGGGACATAAGGCTTTACACCTATTACTCCTTGCATGGAATCAATGACCAAAGGATCCAATGAACTCAAGTCATTAGTTAAGCCATTGGTTATGATCCAGACGTATCCTTCACTAAGTACTCCAATCTCTTTTGCTTTGGTAAAGAACCGAGAGCCAAGGGAGGGCAACATGTGCACAATGAAAACTCTAGTTTGCATTGTCATAAATTTCTGAAGTTCTGCAACAATTTGTTCATCTGTGGCCAATGGTGGAATGGCGCTCTTGTAAGTTACCCGAGTGTGAATCTCTTGCAAGGCATCGATCAAATATGGTATGATTCCTCGTCCAAAGTCATTATCTATGTATATGGGTACAACTTCTCTCCATCCAAAGGCTTGAACAATTGCAGTTATGGCTTTTACTTGAGATGAGTCACTTGGTGTGGCACGAGTGAAATATGTACTTTGAATCGGTGAGAGGGAAGGGCTTGTTGCAGAAAATGAAATTATGGGAACATGAGCTTTTTCTCCAAGAGCTGATACAAAGTGGGCCTGTGTGGACGTCTGTGGCCCTATTATGGCTAGAACTTCAACATTTTTGAATAGGTCTAGAGCTGGTAGGCCATTTTGGAGAAAAGGTCAGTGATATGCAAACTCCAAAAAAAAATTAGGAAAAAAAAATAAAGAATTAACCTGGTAACCTAGAGTAAGAGACTGATTGTACTAGTAGTGAGGTGTTGCAATTTCCACGATTTTGGTATGTATGTTTTACATGGGAAAATAACCTCTATAACAAGGAGCAACGGACTTCATGGAATGGCTGGACCAATCAAAAATGAAAAAAATGCAATACTAGACATAAAAGGTCTGCTCTCCGGAAATGAACAAAATCCGCATGGTTAATTGGAAAATGGAACATCGAAATTCCCGCTAACTTCGCTCTGGACTTTTTCATATTTTAGGAAAATTTCATTGTCTAGGTTTTCAAAGTAACATTTTCTGAATTTTAAGATGCTTTTGGTAGTTTCTTTGTTTGTTCTGACATTGAAATTTATTTAGAAATTTTTTTTGTCTTGATTTTCGATTTCTAATGTATCCCTTAATACAATAAGTTGCAAAAGAAAGGAATCTTCTTCAGTAATATATTCCGAATTTTTGGTTGTACTCTTGCTTCTTTCTAGTGGATAACAAGGTTTTTGAATAATCCTTATCCACTTTTGCCTCGTCAAGTTAAGACCAAAGTGTGATGGTACCAATATAAATACCAAGAATATTTTTGTATAAATATAGAAAAAGAAAGATAAAGAAGATGAAGGTCAAAAGGAATCATTAATATCACAGCTGTCTTGTATACTCCAACACATTTGCTAGCAAGAACTCCTTTCATTCAGGATGTTGGTGAATTTTTCATTGAATCAAAAAAAGACTAGAAACTTTGTTGATTAGTACTTTAGAACATGCGAAGTCAAGAAGAGAGTTCAAAAATACTACCCTAGAACATGAGTGTTAGCCGCTTGGCGGTGTGGCAAAGTTGAGCCCTATGACAATTTGGATCAAATCTTCTTCAAGTTTCCACATATGGAGCAGGCACAAGTATACTTGCAGAATGTACATGAGTATAGATGATAGGATGGATGAATGGAGGGCAGGGGGAGAAAGAGAGAGAGAGAGAGAGTCACCTGCTGCAGCTGCGCCAACAACGTCGTTTTTGGAGTCCCTGGTATTTAGAACCAGCCTAGTCTTGTAGGAACCATGAGAGGAATAGAAGTCCAAGAGTGCTATAGAGATAAATCTCAACCCTATTTTCCCCATCCATGTATCCATGTCTAGAACCACTCCTACATTAACTAGGACTGTACCGGTCTGCCCCATAACCCTGTCAGAGGCGTAAAATTTTAGCGAGAAAAAGAGGAGGAAATGAAATATGAGATTGCCATTTTTTTTCCTCATCTTTGATTCTGTCTGCAAATTCATGCATTATAGACACAAGTAACTTTATCGTGGAAATGAGACTGATGAGCTTCGTGTGTATATATGTGTGTATGGCTTCCATCGCGTTGCGGAAGATTCCCAAAATATTGAGGTCGGTTCTAGCGTGATAACTAAAGAAACCAGAAACAAAACGACAGTTTTCCATAGATTATTAAAGATGTGGGCTATTTTTAGCTGTGTCCTCAGCTTGGACTGTGATGACCTAATCCGAGGTAATGGCAGGGAAATTACCCATTGAAAGACATTGTCAGATTAAGGACAAACAAATCTGCGTCAGCAAGATAGTGGACATCTCCTTCACAAGCAATGACCTCATTTGATTGCCGCAAGAAAACATGAGAAGCTTCCATGTCAGGTCGCTCGTCATCTCCTCCAACCAAAAGTCACCTTGTCGAAGAGAGCCTTTCCCCGAAGCCAGCATCCCCCGTAACTTTATTGCAAAATTTTGTCTGTTTTAAACTTATTTTTTATACCCAATTTTTTTTTTAAATGTGTCATTCCAAATGACGGCTTCATGGGTTAAAATGTCATTTAAAATGACATTTTTAATCTTACAAAAAATTGAGATAATTAAGGTATAAAATATCATTTAAACTAACACATTTAAAAACGTCATTTTAAATGACATTTTTAAGTTATTATTTTAAACGGTTTGATAACGACGTTAGATGATATTAAAAATTAATAAAATCTCTATAAAGACATCATGACAAATGACGATTTATACAAAATAATTTAAATCAAATTTTCAAAAGAACAATTCCCAAATCAGATCTCAAATCACAACTGGTCAATCGAGCTCTCCTTCTCCCTCTTTCAGATCCCTTTCCCAAATTAGATCCCAAATCATAGGTCACTCGAGCTCTCCTACTCCCTCTCTCAGATCAAGCTTTTCTCATCCTCCAACCTTTGTCACCCACCGTGTTCTCCGACAGCAAAGATCAATCTTTGCTCCGCCTCCAACCACTCACCCACCATTGTCTTCGACGAGGAAGACTAGTCCGAGGAAGATGGGAAACTACTCATTGGCAACTGCTAACAAGGCCGAGGTCGAATATTCACAATGTTAAGAGTGATCGAGGAAAAACTGGTCTACTCTAGCGTGATAGGGGATGACACTCTCATTGGTTCTAGGGCCACCTGAATTCACCACTGGGAAGTCATAACTTCAATTTTTGCATTGCTCCTCTGCAGTTGCTTTTGATCACCATTATTCCCACAAGTTTAGAGGGGCTTTCCCTCCCAGAAGCATCGACTTTCAACAAGATTGTGGTTGCCCAAGAATAAAATTTTGGGAATTCAATTTTATATGATCTACAAATTAATATAGCAAATATATCTACAAAGTTAATGTACGCGTACAATACAATTCAAATATCAAAAGATAAACAGAATAATTATAATTATTCGCAGTTCAGATCGCTTTAAATTTTACTTTAAAGTTAATCTAATGACTAATATTAATACCTCAAATTTAATAGAAAAAATAGGTCACTAAAGGTGTTTAGAGTGATTTTTTAAAAATACTTATAAGAATTATTTCTCATAAGTTAAAAAAAAAATAGTGTTTAAAATCGTTCCACCACTACCTATACCATCACCACCCCCACCGCTCCACCACCATCACCATTGCCACCACCACTACCACTACCACCCCCACACCATCGCCGCTGCCACCATTACTATCGTCACCCTACCATACCCACCACCCAACCACCACCACCACTTCCATTACTCCATCACCACAGCATCATTACTACCATTATCACCACCATCCCACCAGCGCCACCACTTCCACTGCCCCATCACCACCATTTCCACCATCACTGCTGTCTCATCCTACCATCATCACCACTGTTATCGCAACTTACAACCACTGTTACTATCTCACCATCACCCCTACCACCTTCACCATCGCTACTGCCACACCTCCACACCCACCCCCGCCCTCACCCTCACTACCCCACCGTCATCACCACCACCATTACCATCGCACCCACTACCGATTGCTATCGTTGTCGTCCATGGTCACCATCCACTATCACCACCATCGTCATCTTATTCTTATATTTATTACCATTACCACCACCATCTCATTACCACCGTTGCCCACCGTTAACACCCACCCCCACTCGTCATCGCCCACCATCGCCACTGTTCAAAAATTTGTTGTCCAAATTTGATATTGACAATTTACGTGCAAGTATACACGATCAACAAATAATAAAGTGATAAGTAGAGTATCGTTCCCACAGAGAATTATTGCTGATAATATCCAAGTATTAACTTTGAATCAATTCAATTTTATTTAAACAATTGGAATTGAACTATGAAATGACTAAATTAAAACTAAATCTAAACTTAACAATCAAGGGTTGAATTTACTAAAGAAAAAAAGTTAAGATTACAATTTTTCTTAATGATTCGTATAAACTTTTCTAACTCTCTTTCTTGTTAATTGATCAAAATATGTTGTTAACTGAGAACTCAAAGTATTTATCAAACCTCTTTCGATAGTTAGATAAAATTATCTCTCCTAATTAAATTATTATATTCCTATGCAAAATAATTTGGAATAAATTCATTAAGTTCAAAGTCTCATGAAAGTTACACACGACATATAAGTATATTCCTATTCTGTACACAAACCCAGCAATTCAATTCTAAGAAGAATTAACCAGAAGTATGTCATCATATTTCGGATCTAAACCTAGAATTCATCTTCCAATTTTATCTAGATTATCAAATTGATTGGTGGACACACAATCATATATTAAGCACAAAATATAACAAACAACTCATGTATGATCAATAAAACTAGAAACGAGAGTAGATCAATTTAACTAAACATTAGGTTCTATTGCAATCTTAGTAGAAAATTAGTTCATAACGTAATTGAAAAACATCATTTTAAAATTAAACAACATCTTAGAAAATCAAGAAATAAAAGTAAGCGAAAAGAATAAAAACTTAGGTGCAATCTTTAATCCTTCTCTAACCTTTAAGACCAATCTTCTTCGTGTCAATTCTTGTCTTCAATTTTCTTCCAATTCCTTGGCTTTTTTTAGATGTTTTCAGCCCTCCAAAGTCAGTATCTTCTTTTCCCACACAAACTCTAGCATATATGTAGTTTTAGAGTCAAATTTCGGGTTAAAAATAAGGTAAAATTCGTATCACGGACTAACATAAGTGTGGGGGTGCCAGAAATCAATGTAAGGGTGCCAATTGAACAGTAGGTTGGCTCAAGGGCCCCCCCCCCCCAATTAAGCCTAAAATGTCCTGGTTGTTTTATCTTCAAAAATCTAATATTTTGGCTCCAAATTGACCTTGTTTTCTCTCAAATGATCATGATTCCTTTCAAACTATCATCCCTACGAAATAACATCAAAACACACAAAATAAATAAAAGAAACATAAAATAATTAAAAATTTATAATTTCATCAAATCAAAAATACTCAATTCGTAGGTATAAAACTCACTCATCAAATACCCCCAAACTTAAATCCTTACTTATCCTCAAGCAAAATACTAAGAACAAAAACATAAAAATTTAACCCTATCAACCAACTACTCAAACAATGGATCAATATAAATTTGAATAATGACCCCGAAAGTTACAACAAATAATAATTTATGAGAAACTTCAAAACAGTGCAAAGTCTATTAATTTAACATATTCCTTAATTTTACCTCTGCTCATGACCCTTTAAATACATGGACATATCCGGACTATCAAGCTAGTCATCACCCAAATACATTTACATAATCAAATGTTTTATAGGAGATACTCAATATCAACTCTGTGGACTTACTTTTCACATCAACCTCTGCTCATTAAGGCAAACATAAAAATAGAAGGACAAAATATTTTTTTTTTCTCCTCACTCTTTTTTCTCTTTCGGTGAGTGCATTTTATACGCCATCTCACCTCCTATTGAGCGAGTGTGTTTTATGCTCCATCTCGTCTTTTCTTGAACAAGTGCGTTTTATACTTCATCTCGTTCACCACATGTGTTTATGAGTGAGTGCATTTTATGCTCCATCTCTACTCACCACATGCCCATTTTCTTGTCTCTTGTCTCTTGTCTTCCTTTTTTTTTTTTTCATCTAACTTATGAAGGATCAACTCAAAATAATTTTTCAAAAACTCGTTTTTTTTACTAACCCATCATAATCAATATTTTTCTCAAACTTATATGAATACCTCCACTCGCTTTGAATGATGCTTAAATTAATTTTCTAAAGTTTCAATGATATCTCCCATAAGCATTTAACCAAATAAATTCTCTAAATAATAATTAACCAAATAGATGGATATGTGCTCATGATTGAAAAGATCACAAACAAACTAGTATGTCAAACTACAGACTCAACATGTTTATCAATTTTTCTCGAATTGATAATTAATCCCATACATCATTGACTATTATCAAATTCAATCAACCAATTGCTCAAATCGTTCTAAATCATGTTATCTAAATGCATACCTAATAATGCAAATATAAATAATAAAACACTTCCAAACTTAAACTAAACATTGTCCTCAATGTATAAAGTAGAAAAAATTAAGATAGAAGATTTCCCTGAGACTTCGCTAGTTGGCATCATCATTAGAATATTCATTGTCCGCAGAGCTGGGAGTGTATTCGGGACAAAGGTGGGCTGTTCTTGGCTCCTAGTAATACTTTGTGTGTGCTCTAACTTTATGTTCAATCATTGAGACCTACAAACAATTGACATACCAATTAAAATGCACTAACTAACTAACTACATTATTTCTTATAAAAAACTAAATTAAAATAAAATAAAATAAAACTTAGAAACTAAAATTTGGGTTGCCCCTCAATTAGCGCTTGTTTTATAGTCTTCAGCCTGACAACTTCCTGTTTCATCCCTGGTCGGCAAGGGTAATTGAGGTCTTTTCATGATCAATGTTGCTGCCCCAATATTGCTTTAATCTCTACCCATTTACCTTGAAAGTTCTTTTCGAATTGGCTTCCTCAACTTCGACTATCCCATGTGGGAACACCTCCTCTTTATATATTATGGCATTCTCAAGAGGATCTAAAATACAACTTCCTATGAATACTCCATTCACTGTCTTTTAAACAAATCAACCCAAAAACATTCTTCCGCCTCCTTTGGAAATTTCATAGCTAAAAATACATTGAATGTAACCTCTTGATCTTGGACTCGCATAGTTAACTCACCTTTCTGTACATCAATAAGTGTTCTCCTTGTTGCTAAGAATGGTTGCCCAAGAATAATAGGTATTTCTCTATCTTCCTCAAAATCTAAGACTATAAAATCAGTTGAAAAAATAAACTTATCCACTTTAACTAGAACGTC